GTTGCCAAGCAGCCAGCAATATCCCTGTCCACGCTGCTGCTTGGAAACAGCCCCGTGATGGCTGCAGGCTCAGTTATGGGAGGATGACCTTGACCCCTGGTAGGCTTCTTCGACTTCCGTGTGTACAACACGAGTGTATGTTTCAAGTCACACCAGAAATACCCGAATATTTGCTGACACACCTGAAAGGATCAAAAGACATAGAACTACACAAGTTGGCGGGGGTCCCGACAGGGTCCTGACCGCAGCAGCACAGCCTCTTGCTGCGTCTTTCAAAGCCGCCAGGCGAGCGCTCTGTGCTCCGTCTCCTGCACGTGGGTGCGGGGCTTGACGGCACCCTCCACACTCTCAGCCTGGAAGGTGCCAGCAAACTCCTTCCCCCATGTCTTACCTCTCCATCAAAGCCCAATGGCATGCCGTTCCTAGGAGTGTGTATCTTCAGTGGGAACAAAATTTGCTTCTCATGGTAATCAGAATTCAGGGGCCCGGTAGTGACAGTTCACAGTCAGTGCTGCCTCAGTGTTCCAAAAGCCAAGCAGACCCCCCTGCGGGGAGCAGCAGCCTGGGAGGGTCCCGGCAGTGGGTCACAGGAACCCCCACAAGTGAGTAATCCCAGCACCTGGAATCTGGAGGCGAGGCAGAGGCAGGCCCCAGCAGCTAGGAGGGATGCTGCAAATCTTGGGACAAAGCCACGAGACGTGGGCTTAGCACCACTGCAGCTCCAAGGCTGAGCCTGCCTGTGCGCGGTGCAGAGTGGGGCGGAGCGGGTGCCGGGAGCCGGACAGCGGCTTGTCTGACTGCTTGTGGACTAGACTTTAAGACCAGCTTGGGCAGGCACGGCAAGATGCTTGAGTCAAAAGATGACTTACGTATGTGAGAATTTCCCAGCCTAAGTTATGGAGTAACACGTGTTGAAATAGAAGGAGACCATAAACTTTCAGTTAGGGCATAAACTAGTCTTCTAAATGAGATGCCTGCCCACACTCCAAAGCTGTGGAGGCTGGGGCTGCAAATATTATCGGAGGTGCCAGCAGGCGGTTTCTCACGCGTGGCCCTGGAGAGGAGCCCCCTTGAGGCGTGGGCTTGCACAGGGCCAACCCTGCTGCCCTGCAGCGAGGGGAGAAGGTGGGCCATGGGCTGGCCCGAAGCAGAGGTTCTCTATCTTGGCTCCGACGTGACATTACCCGAGAATGTTTAAAGACCACACCCCAGAATAATTCAGTCGGAGCTTCTAGGATGAGACGCAGGGATCAAGCTTTCCGAACTGATTCCCAGGTGACTCCAATGTGTAGCCAAGACCAAGAATCAGGTCCTTAAAGGACGGGGAGGATCTGGAAGTAGACGGCACGTTCCAGCAGCTGTTATGAATTTACAGGGCTATTTAGTTAATGCAAACTCTCAGATTCATCCTTAGGCCAACTCTGGCTGATTCCCTCTCACTTTACCTCAGGACACAAGAAAGTCTCACCTAGAATCAGGAAGAAACTTGATTCAATGCTTGTTTTGGTTTATCAATGGGTGATATGGGGTGAAGAGTCTGCTTTCTGGGCAAACTGGGTGGGGGGAGGTTGTGAGTGAAATTCTCTGGTACTCAAGCAGGGTCTGTGACCCGCTGTCCACTTCCTAGGTCTTCCCAGAGATGTTCAGGCCAAGGGATACTTGGCCACCAACCAGCCGTGTGGCTTTGGGCAGGTCCCATTCCCTCTCTGAGCCTCAGTTGTCTTATTTGTAAAATGAGACAATTGGGCATTGACCTCTTTGAAACATTAGGGAATTGTAAAATACTGAACATGATAGAAAAGCAAAAATAAAACTAGCTGTTGGCAAAAGTGTCCAGAAGAGGGTGCAAGACGCTTCCGATAAACTACAGTGCGACTCCAGCCATCCTCTGGAAAGGACCCTGACAGCGACTACCTGAGAGCCAGTGAGAGAACAAGGGTCCCGTTGTTGGAGAGCTAGAGGCTCAGAGCTGATTTCCAGGGGAAGTGCAGGTGGCTACAGCCGCACGTCCTCTGACCCAGGCCGCCCCATTATTTTCTCCTCCCCAGTAGGTCTGTCATGCCGTTCTGGGGGAGGGGTCCTGACAGTTACCTATATTATACAATAAAACCCAATCCTTTTGCAGTAGAGTTAGAATGCTTAGTAGGAACCAAAGCCTTTCATTCCACTGAGGATTACAGTCAAGCTTTTGATGAAACCCTTCTACAGGGAACACAGAACTGGCAGTCTCACCGCGTTGCCAAGGTCTAGCAGCAGACCTTTGCAGGAAGCAAGCCCTGAGGTGGGGGTTCCTCCATGAAGTCAGCAGTACAGCACTGGTGACAACAGTGCTGAACCTGCTGTGGTGTCATGAGCCAGCAGGGCACAGCCACGGAGGCCCGAGGGTGTAACCCTTCCTCCCACCCAGTGGCAGAATCTGCACCATCTTTGACAGTGACCATGCAGCCTCTGCTGGACTCCTCCGGGGACAACAAGCTCTCTTCTCAGGAGACGTCCACCCCTCTCCACCAGGCTTTCTTATTAAAATTTGTGCTTATCTCTCGTGGTGGTCCAATATCTGCCACCCTGAAACTTCCTCCCTGTGGTCTGGGTCAGGCCTCCACTTAGCAGAAGCGGCCTAACCTCTTTCACATGACGGACTTTCAAATACTTGAAAACCGTCAGGGCATTCCCACTGCCCTTGTTGGGTGCCCCAGCCCCCGCCACTCCGAAGTCCGAGCCTCCTTTGTAGACCTGCGCTGAGGCTCAGGCAAGATCCCAGAAGGAAAATACTTGGCAAGCTTCTTTGGCACAAAGTGCATTTTAAAATGCTTTTATTGTTATTCAAAGGAGGGAAAGCTCCGATTTGACTGGGATTAGAAATTCACAGAGCCCTGGCCAAGAGCAGTGTTCTCCTTAGGGATGCGGTTCAGTTCAGTGCGTGCCAGGTGTGGGGGGAGCCAGGCCGCTGGAGCCGGGCTGGGGGTGGAGAGAAAGGATGAGAGCAAATGAGCTTCAGGTTGGCCAGAGGTCCTGGTGGGATGGCTCGCTCTGCCTGCTTGGCAGGGGGAAAGGTGGGTCTACATCAAGGTTAGAATCAGACTTGTGATAAGAGGTGAAGGGTGCCGATGAGAAGGAGGGGGTCTGCCTGGGAAATGGGTCACAGCTTTACTCAGGAACTCGGAAGAGGAAGCAGAGCTAGCAAAGGGCTTGGAGGAGGGATGGGTAGAGAGGCTGGGAAAAGAGGAGAAAGGCGATAGAAAGAGGTGGTTTAATGTCATGGGGAGAGTTCGTTACTTCCCCATGCTTCAAGGGAGAGGGCAATTTCAGTAGGATGGGGCTGAGAGAAACCACCGAGGACTCGTTAAAGAAGGGGCGATCAACTGGGGCTGTCATTAGAACCACCCGTAGCTCCTAAGAATCCCTTTGCCTGAGCAGCATCCCAGGCAGACTTTCTGGGAGTGGGATCCAGGCATCTGTTTTTGTAAACATGAGTCTGACATGCACAAAGTGTTGAGAACCAGTGAATCGTGGAGGGGCTGGGTGTGAGCGAGCAGAGCCAGCTGGTACAATCACTTCAGGGAGTTTAGCAGAACCAGAGAACAGAAAAAGTCGAGAACCAGCTGAGAGAGAGAGAGAGAGAGAGAGAGAGAGAGGGAGAGAGGGAGATAGATAGATAGATGCTGGTAGAGAGATGGGACCACCGACGGAGCCCAGCAGTGCAGAAGGGAAGGGTTGCTGGAGCAGGGGTGGGGACTGAGCCATACTTAGCAAGGGGGCTTTTTTTAGTCCCAGAAGGCCGAATCCCTGTGGGTGTGAAAACACTGAGTGGGGCTGCACCTGGAGTGCGACTAGAATGCAGAGCAGACTACTACGCTCACAGATATCTGAGAGGGGACAGAACCATTTCCTTTCTGCCCTTGCTAGTGTCAGGAGGAGCTCCAAGGAGAATTGCCCAAGCTTCGGTCGGCCCTGGGAGTACAACCCTTTAGAATTATGGAGGAGCTTACAAAAATTCAGGGGCTCCAGTCCTGCCCTCGGCCAGTATATCAGAATTCCTGAAGGACTTCATGCTAAAGTGCCCACCCCCACCCCAGGTGATGATCCTCATGGGGAGGCACAATTGGGAAGCGCTGGCCACGGGAATCAAATGGGAATCCTGCACTCCAGGTGGGGAGGTCGTGCATAGGATGAGTTTACAAACCCTTCCAGGGCGCGAGGCTCCGGAACAATCGCCCCAGGGGGTGCAGATGGACGCTTTAGCTGAGCGCCCCCTACAGAGGCTGTTCCTCATTCAGGTACAAATGTCAGCTTCAGAAAACCAGGGGACAGCCCCTGCTCTCCCTCCACCGACTCCTGCCAGCTGTTTTCCTTTTTGGCTGGCATGCCTACTCTTTGCTGGAAGCAGAACAGGGAGTGAAGCTGCGTAAGGCAGCCAAGTGCCACTGGCAGAGGGGAGAAAACTAAACGAGGTAGGAAGCGGTAGAAGAGCTGAGAATGTGGTGGGGGGAGAAGGGAGAAAAAGGGACACTTCCCAGAAAAGCGAACGATCCTCTGAGCAGGGTGGCAGGGAGCCTCGTTGGAAGCTGCGGGGAAACAGACAAAGTGGAGGGGTTACGCTCCCCACTTTTCTGATCAGGATCTCAGCGCGGGGAGTTCAGCTAGTCGGAGACAGTCTTTGGTATAGCCAAGCCGCCCTAATAACAACCTGCGATATGACTGAATTTTAATAACAAAAACCCTGATCACAGACACGTAAAAACCAGAGGAGGAATTTTGGAGCCTTTCAGCAGCGGGCACCTCTCTTTCTATCCCTCTTTGCCCTCTCTGGTTACTTTCCTTTTTCTTTTTTCCTTGGCTGCACTGCGTCCCCGCCCTGCCTCCCAGGCACAGCCTCCCAGACACAGCTGGCGTGGACCCAGAGCGTGGGGCGGCAGGTGCGGCACCGGCGTGCACCTGTCCCGCGTGCGCTCCGTGTCCAGCAGGGGGCGGCCGGCACCCGCCGCGCGCCCGCCCCGCCCCCGGCCGGGAGGACCCCGCGGTGCGGGGGCGCGGGAGGGCGCGTCCAGCCCGGCCCCGCGGGGTGCAAAGGCGCGCGGCAGCTCGCTGGCCGCCGGCTCGGACGTCCGCCCTGCCTCCCTGCCTCGCCCCGAGCTCGCACCTCCTCCAATACCTGAGTTGGGAGCGGCACGGCCTCCCCCGCCCGCCCGCCACTCCGGCCCGGCCGCTGCGACGCCGTCGCCGCGGGAGTAAAGGTCGCGCCGGCAGGGAGCGAGCCGGCCGCGGCGCCTCCTGGAAGCCGGCGGGGCAGGTGGGGGAAAGGGACGGGAAACACTCAAACTCTCAGCCAGCCCAGGAAGATGGCGCCAGGCGGGCCGGCCGCGGACTGAGCGCCGCGGGGGCAGCGAGGAGCCGGGACCCGCCGCCCGCCGGAGCACGAGCGAGAGTCCTCCGCCCGCAGGGCGCCCGCCCGGGGCTCGGCCGGGCACGCGGGGTCATGTCGGTCAGCGAGCTCTACAGCCAGGTGAGTGCGGGCCGTGCTCCGCGGCCCGGCGGGCACAGGTGAGGGCGGCGCGGGGCGGGGCGGTGTGCTGCGGGCCACCGCTGCCCTCGGGGGCGCCTTCTCCTGAGGCTCCGTGGGTCGGGGGCCGACCGGAGACAGCTCTCAGCCTGCTCCCTGCAGCCTCCTCGGCGCCGCTAACTTCGGGTGGCGGAGAAAGTTTGCTGTTCCGGGAGCGCCCCGCACTGACCCGCCGCGGCTGTGCCCCTGGTCAGGGCTGTCGCCCCCACCCCGACGCCCGGCCACCGCTGGCCTCGCCGGGGCTCTGTTCTGTCTGAGTCCCCGAACCGCGAGGGCAGCCCCACCAGCTCCCAGACGGTGCCTGGGGACAGCCCCCTGTGGTGGCGCCCTTCTGGATCAGGACGCCACCCCAGGTGCTCTGCAGCGTGAGCTCCCAAGGGCGACCTTCCAGTGTTTCTAAGACTTCCTTTCCTCGCGCATGCCATCGAGGGGGACCCCTGAACTTGGGCGGCGTTCCGCCACTTGAGCGGGGAGAGGAGGGGTCCCAACCTGGTGCCGGGGGCGCTGCAGCCGGAGGGTGGAAGCTTTGGGGAAGGCGCGAGGCCCTCCAGGGGTCTCTGGAGACGGGGAAGCACGTTCCCAGTTCGCCAGGGAGGGGCTCTCTGAGGCTCCAGGCTGGGTGGGGACGTGGAGGGCTTCGGCGACTGCGGGGAGGGCGTCGGTGTAAGGCCGAGCTAGGGGCGAGGGTGGTTTCCAGGATGCCCGCAAGGTTGCGATGCGTGTGCAGGGCTCCTTCGTCAGAGTCGGGAACAGGTGCAGTGGGGCGGACACGCCCGCTTCCATGGTGCTCGCTGTGGTTACAGTTGGGGACCAGCCACCGCTTCCCCAGCGCCTGCGGCCGCGCAGCCCGAGCTCCCTCGGGACCCCCTTGGGTTTCTACTTGGCGCGGAGGGTGAGGGCGGCACGGACCTTTAAGTATGCACCCCTCCTCCACTCCTAAGTTTTGGACGCCCCTCCGTCGCCTTCCTGTTTGTCTTCTCTGTGGCCGAAAACGTTTGGCAGCACCTGGTGCACACTTCTCGGTGCACGGAGGGGTGTGTGTGTGTGTGTGTGTGTGTTGCCGGGGGAGTTTGGGGGAGGGGTCCGGTTGGGGGTTGGGAGTTCGGTTCCCAGGATCCTGGCTCCGACCAGCAGGTCTGGGCGGAGGAGGAAGAGCCACTTCCGCGTCTTCACCTGGCGGGTTCTCGCAGCTGCCCCTGAGCGTGGGCGAGACCTCCTGCAGGGTGGGCGAGTCTTCTAGTTTCTCCTTCCTTTCCGAGGGGGACAGGGCCGAGCTAGGATGACAGGCGGTGGCCCCAGAGGTTGTGCCCTGGCTGGGGGGGGTGGGGGCACAGCCGACCAGGACACTCAACTCCACTCGCAGCGGGAGCCCTTGACGGTGATCACAGATGAGAGGTAGCTGCTGAGAGAGGAGAGGGAGTGAGGTCTGAGCCGGGGCGTGGGCGGGGGCGGAGTGAAATCTCTGCGGCTCCTGGCTTTGGAAAAGCACACTCCTCGGGTTACCTGGTTACCCGCGGCAGGAGCTCTCACGCTTCGCTTTCAGTTGTTGTCCTGGAAGCCGGCTGTCACGGGAGGCCGGAAACCAGGGATGCAGGGAAAACTCTGAACTGGAGTGTAAAGCGCTGATCCTGGCCACACGGAAGTGCACGAGAACACCACCTGTTCTCCCAAGGAGAACAGTGACCCAAGTGGATACACCTGCGGGGTATCCTAAAGCCCTCTGTTAGACAGTAATTGACCGCTTCATTATACGAAGCTAAAGGACAACTGAATAAGCCCTTAATTTTTGGAGCCCTGATCTTGAAAAATCAGAACATTGGATTGCTTTTAAAGACAACACCATCAGAGGAAAACACTCAGTTTAAGTTTTAGTTAGAAATGAGTACTTTGCATGCTGATTTAGGAGCGGTGAATTAGTGAGTCTGAGCTAGAGTTTTGGTGTGCTTTTCTGGCCTTGAGCTGGACAGAGCTGTCGCACCAGGAAAAGGTCTCGGGAGGGTACACAGAACAAGCAAGCAAACAAAAAACGTGGCCTCACGAGGGTGAGGGTTTGGCCTAACCTGAAAAGAGTTATGAGAACAACTCCCTAGGGCTGTGGGGCTCTGCGCCTGGCTCTGTTGATGGGTTTCTAGGTGTTAATCATTTTTAGATTCACGAGTCTAAACTTGAGGTTTGTCTGTGGCGAATGCAGTAGCTTCCACATTGTGCTTGGGCAGTTGCTTTTCTTTCCGGCAGAGTGACACGCGGAGGCTTTTCCTGTGAGAAGCAGCGGCATTGTTTTCTAACCATCGTCTCACTTGCTCGGCTGGGTTCGCAGCACGCACACGAATCATCAAGTGTGCAGGGAAGGTGTGCCGGCTGTGCAGATGCACTTTGTTTCTGGGGAGATGACTTGTCCTTTTGGTGTATTATCAAAATAACCAACGCTCTTTTTATGTTTAACCTGCTGGTGGGCTTTTCTGGCATCATGCACGCTGGAGCCAGGCACGCACTTCAGTGCATTGTGCGTGATGGGAATAATTACCCCTTATGCAGCAGCACTTTTTTAATAGGGGGGATGGAAATTTTTAAGGCCCTTTATTGGTAATACCTGTTGGAAGATGTTATTCTTGGAATAAGGCACTTACTTCAGTGTATAAACTCACTGTAAGTATACAGTTTCAGCTAAGAACTTAGTATGTGGGTCTAGCCCTAGTTATCCAAGAGCAGACTTCTGCCTTGTCCCACCCTCCAAGTCACTGTTTTCTTGTCCTTTCTCACTTGGGTTCAACTGGCAGCTCATGAGCTATGGGAATATTTTGGGGGGGGGGGAGTTGATCTGAGTCCTTGGCAAAGGGCCCTTCCCATCAACAAGGGCACGCCTGTTTTTGGAGGACCCAGCAGCTCGGCTTTGAGAAATTGCTTTCTTTGCACTGAGGTCTTTGGGGTGGGGAAAGCGAATCGGAGTGCCCGCCGCACTTGGAGGGTGATGCCAAAGCCAGTCAGCCGCAGCCACACTCATGGGACGGTGGGGCGGACCCTGGGCCCTCGTCACGAGAGGCACGTGTGTGGCAAGTGTTAGCACCTTGTTTCCGCCCACAGGAAAGGACAGTATGGGCTAATCTGATTTGTGCAGGTCCCAGGAAGACGCCCAAACTCGAGCAAGCGTGGTATGACTTAATTACGATAAGTGCAGAAAATAGTCTGGTTTTTAAAGTGTAAAGTACATAATCTCTCCCTCAGGCTCAATAACACAAGTCTTCCATAGAGAAGGGTTATTCTGGATGAAATGTTAAATATTGCTCCTGTAAGTATTATGATTTTCGGTGTGATTTTGGCCGGCAGAGTGACTGGGAAATCACCAGACTGGAATTTCTGCTTTAATCCTTTCCCGCGTGGTTTTGAATAGATAGGTGCTGCCCGAGCAGTGGATTTGGGGGGCTGCCGGGAGGTCACTGTACTGTGTAGGCCAGAGTGGCTTTGAGCACAAAGGCCTTAGCTCTAAGGGCTGCAGTTGGGGCTAGTCCTTTGGAACGTGGAGCTCGTGTGCTTTGGGCTGGCGTCCTTTTGCTGTCCCTGACCTGTGCCTCAGGGGACGCGGGTCCCTCCTGAGCTCAGTCCTTTCCCATCCGTAGCCACCGCTCCCTCTTCTCTCTGCCCCCTTTCCCCATGGGCCTGTAAACCCTCCTGGTGACCATCAGAACTTGGAAGTTTGTGTGCAATTTGTCACTCGGCTCACAGGGCCTGCTCTCTGCCTGCTTGTTACCTGTACACGCAGAACGAGCCTGCCCTGTTCCCCCCTGCCCCCACCGTTGGTAGTTTTTGTCATGTCACATGTCCCAGCTGGGCTGAGATCAGGAGAGCAGAGGCTGCACAGGACACCCTTGGGAGTCAGCTGCATCCACGTTCACGGGCCGGTGGGGCGGACCCTGGGCTCTCGTTACCAGAGGCACATGAGTGGCAAGTGTTAGCACCTTGTTTCCACCCTCAGGAAAGGACAGTGTGTCCTCAGTGTGTGTAGTGCACTGCCTTAGTAGGTGCTTATTTGGGAAGTTGTCTTCTAGGCACCCCCGAGCCTTCCTCCCCCAAGTCCTGCTGGAACTTCCTTGTAGCCACTGGCTGACGCCAGGTCTCCCCACTTGGGCCTCTTAGAGAAGCTTGCCTTTACTGTTGGTTTCTTCCCATTTTCTTTTAGTTAATGTGCTGCTTGTATTGCATTTCATCAGCTGCAGCACAGTCACCCATCAGAAGGCTTTCTGACAGCCCGGGTCTGACTGGAGTCTAAGTATGTTACTGCACTTTCGTTTGCAAAGACGGCATTCTCTTTCTGTCAGAGGGCCAAGGCACTCGGAGTAGAAGCTAACTAGACTTCCCAAATGCTGGCAAGATTAAAAAAAAAATACTGTCATTTTCTGTGGTAAGGTTCAACTGTAAATTATACTGCTTACAGTATAGAAGTCCACACACTGCCTTTCCTAAGTGAGAGTGTATTTATCACAACACGCACAGGATTGTTGAGGTTTGAGCTCAAGCCAGTACGGGTTTGAGCTAGTCGTTGACCTCTGTTTTGTAGCTCAGTAGGTCCCCAGCAACCACACGACAAAGCAGCCAGCCCACTTTAGAGAGAGTGGAACGTGTGCCCTGGTGTCCTTGTCTGTGCAGACGCGCTTTGCATCCTCACTGGGCAGCACAACCTAAATATGCAAAGTTACCTAACAGTACAGCATCACTGCGTGTCCGGAGAGGAGGGCACACACTCTTGGCTAAAGGCACTTTGAAGAAGCAGCAGCCGGTGGGCTGCAGCAGTGAGGGAAGACTGTAGAACACATGCAACACCAAACTCACAGCTGCCCCAGCACCAGACAACCAAGGCATGGGGAAGGGAGGCTCCCCCTCCGTCCCGCACCCCCGCCACCAACTTCCTGGGGAAAGAGCGAGAGCAGTTTGAAAGAAGGTTTAAATTT